GGGTTAAAAGCTTCCTCGTTATCAAGCCCATTGGATGTTAAGGTAAAGATGACCTTCCAACATTATTCGCATGAGGTTTTTCATACATTTGGGGAATGATTTGCAATATTGGGAGTGGAATATTTGTAGGTGAGCCGGGTGACAAGGCTTAAGGAACCTTCCTCCGTCTGGTGGTGTGGGCTCCTGGTGACACCGGAGTTTTGGGTTTGGTGGGTGGGTTCGTGGTGCAAGGTTGACTAGTTCATAGTGGGCTGGTATCCGTGTCAACGTTGTCGGGGGGAGGGAGGGAGGGAGGGAGAGAGGGAGAGAGGGAGAGAGAGAGAGAGAGAGAGAGAGAGAGAGAGAGAGAGAGAGAGAGAGAGAGAGAGATCCCAGCGGATTTCATATTCGGAGAAACTTGGGTCAAACTGACTGCGTACTTATCAAGCCCATTGGATGTTAATAGAAAGATGACCTTCCAACATTATTCACATGAGGTTTTTCATACATTTGGGGAATGATTTGCAATATTGGGAGTAGAATATTTGTAGGTGAGGCGGGTGACGAGGCTTAAGGAACCTTCACTCCGTCTGGTGGTGTGGGCTCCTGGTGACACCAGAGTTTTGGGTAGGTGGGGTGGGTTGGTGATGCAAGGTTGACTAGTTCATAGTGGGCTGGTATCCGTGTCAACGTTGTCGGGGGGAGGGAGGGAGGGAGGGAGAGAGGGAGAGAGAGAGAGAGAGAGAGAGAGAGAGAGAGAGAGAGAGAGAGAGAGAGAGAGAGAGAGAGATCCCAGCGGATTTCATATTCGGAGAAACTTGGGTCAAACTGACTGCGTACTTATCAAGCCCATTGGATGTTAATAGAAAGATGACCTTCCAACATTATTCACATGAGGTTTTTCATACATTTGGGGAATGATTTGCAATATTGGGAGTAGAATATTTGTAGGTGAGGCGGGTGACGAGGCTTAAGGAACCTTCACTCCGTCTGGTGGTGTGGGCTCCTGGTGACACCAGAGTTTTGGGTAGGTGGGGTGGGTTGGTGATGCAAGGTTGACTAGTTCATAGTGGGCTGGTATCCGTGTCAACGTTGTCGGGGGGAGGGAGGGAGGGAGGGAGAGAGGGAGAGAGGGAGAGAGAGAGAGAGAGAGAGAGAGAGAGAGAGAGAGAGAGAGAGAGAGAGAGAGAGATCCCAGCGGATTTCATATTCGGAGAAACTTGGGTCAAACTGACTGCGTACTTATCAAGCCCATTGGATGTTAATAGAAAGATGACCTTCCAACATTATTCACATGAGGTTTTTCATACATTTGGGGAATGATTTGCAATATTGGGAGTAGAATATTTGTAGGTGAGGCGGGTGACGAGGCTTAAGGAACCTTCACTCCGTCTGGTGGTGTGGGCTCCTGGTGACACCAGAGTTTTGGGTAGGTGGGGTGGGTTGGTGATGCAAGGTTGACTAGTTCATAGTGGGCTAGTACCCGTGTCAATGTCATCGGGGCGAGAGAGAAAGAGACAGATTGGTTCAGGTAAGCATATAATCATTCAGGGCTTGGACTTTTTCTACGTTTTCGCCTCCCCCTCACCCTTTTCCGCTCCCCTTTCCCCATCTATTTACAACGTAGAGTCAGATTGGACTCTTCCCTCCCAATCTTCATCTGATCTGGGCGCTGGATTTTCGTCGTGTCCAGCGTCGAGGTCCATTTGCGGTGGACCTCGTAAAAGCCCATTGAGAGGTTTGGGACTTATCCACTGAGAGGTTTTAGTTTTTAATCATCCGTTTAGTGGGTGTCGATGCCAAATTTGATGGGAGAGAAAATCGTTGAGAACTCATCTCTGAACAAAAACAAAAGTCCAGTTGTACGGATGCGGATGATCTAATCGGAGAGAGGTTGACATCGTGTCGTTTTCAAACGTGTAGTTAGACATGGAGTGACGTATAAAATTATTTCTGTGGTAAAATAGACAAAATAAAATATTATGGTCTTAATTTCGGCACTTGAATTAGATGTCGTGGAAACTTTAGTATAATACTCAACTGATGGCCCCTTCTGCCGTTCACCCACCTTGTTTTCAAGACAAATAAATGTCAACTTACATATGAGGCGAGTTGCTAAATAGTCACATCTGAGTTAGCATAAAATGTAGACTCGTATGTAGGATACATTGCACGAGCCTCAATTCCAAGAATATAGTAAGTCTACTACATTATTTTTTTTGGAAAAAAATTAATTTAATTGAACAAAAATTGTTCTTTTTCCCTGGATAGTAAAAGTAGCTTAGATTATTTGGCCAGCGAATAGGCATAGGTATCTGGACAAAACTCGTTCTAATTAAGATTTTGGTTTTAGAGAAAAAATTATTTCAATTTGAGCTAAATTATTTTACACCTTTCAGGCCAAAGGAAGAGCCTAGAAAATGAGGGATGGACTTAATTTCTTTGAGGCATGGTTCACCCCTTCAGGTAAGTGCCAAAACCATACTTGCATCATATTGTGACTTAGTATGAATATTAACCAGTAATTAGAATTAATCTGAACCTAAAACTTCACACACCATTGATTTTTTTTAACATTAAAAGAGTATTTGGTCAAAGTCAGTGAATATTGGCCCAAACTAGGCAAAGTCAAGCAATGACAATTAGAGTGCTTAGAACCCCAAATACTTTATCCAATGAACTGCAAGTGTCAATGAGTTAAGTACGCTGATACTTTAATGGCATCATTTTCAATGTTTCCAATGAAGAGGTTAAGTTCAAAGCCAAAAAGACTAGGGCCAGCCTAGCTTAATACTTATCTAGGATGAGTTTTACTTTGATGAAGTTTGGCTATGGATTCTGATATATTTTCCTTTGGTGATTATTTCATATTTTCAAAAGAGAAGCCTTTTTTCTTTGAATCGTTTTATCTAGCATTTAAGATTCCTATACTTTTTTGTTATCAATGGGCATGTAAATATATTAGTAAGGGGATTTAGCCAAATTCTGGATATGCAAGATAAAGCACTGAAGATCATATCAATCCAACATTTCTTATTTAACCATAATTGTTGGTGAGTCATCAAGAAAATCACTAAATACAGTGCCTTAAACTTCAAACAATTCACAGACAGGTCTAATTGGGAATTAAAAAACAAATGCAATGGCTTAGGAACTACAACTAAATTGGGGTCCAATGAGATGTGCTTGGTTGTTGAGAGGGGAGAATTGCCGAAGGAATATTGTTAGCCTGTTAAGAAGACTAGAAGTGTCTTTCTAAATCCACATTAGACTCTAGCCTAGTGCATATAAATTACACAATTTAATCCAAGAAAAAGACTAACACATTGGAAAGGGCAGGTAGGAATGTGGGTGGGTATAGGATTGAGGACATATTTAAGGGAGGAGAAGGGCAAAATGACAGTGAGCTTCTAGCCCAAGCTCTCCTTTATATTTGCCAAGTACTCTAGCACAAGAATGGGCTTGGCTTCATGAGGCTGTTAACTTATTTTCTTAGTTCATAGATGGGTCTTGGTGATCCCAAAATGGTTCTTTAGGTGAAATTTGGCCTAATTTAGATTTGGTTTTCTATAAAGATTTCATATAATTTTAATGGAATTATCTTACACTCCTCTAGGACAAGGGAAGAGCCCATAAAATAAGGAATGGCCTAAATTCCTATGAAGCATGGACGTCCCCTTCAGATAACTAGGAAAATGGTAGTTGCATCATATTGCCACTTAGTACTAAACAAGCCGCTAATGAAATGGGAAACTCAAATAGGTTATGTCTTCCTTTTAGAGACACAAGCCTATTGGAAGGTTTTTTGGTGAAGTTGACGGCCATTGATATTCCATCTTTGTAGATGCAAATTGTGTCTCCAACATCCCATTTTCTAGGCTCCTCTAAAATGCCACAATTTGATGTGGAGTTATATAGTCACATGATTCTTTTCTTGATTCTCTTTAGTGCATGTGCATAACATAGATTTGGGCTAAGTTTGACACCAAGCACTAAATGTTCCTAGAAGGACCCTTAACTCTTTATTGACGATTAGAGAAGAGGCCATAGAGTCCACATGGAGGTATTCATTGTTGTTTTTTTCTACTCTCAATTTATGTATATGTAGCAATGGGCTTTGAAACTTGGGATATAACTGATGTAATTGGGTGGCTGACCTTTTGAAAATCAATGTGCATTTTTTAGGAAAATAGTAAACTCTACTAGGAAGGATCATTTGGGATTGGATGTAGCCAAGTGAGAGGCAAACCTATATAAAAAGTCTTGGTGTCTTTGGTGGGGAAGAGAAAACCTTGTGAGAATTTGTATCGAGAGAGAGAAAGAGCCTTGAGAAAATCCACATTGAGAAAGAGAGAGTTGTGAGAGAATTAGTGTCAGAACATCTACTAATAGCCAGAAAATGAGAATTGACAAAAGTCCATAGAAACCTAATTCACATCTGATTCTTTATGTTTCACCTAACCCTCTTTGAACTTAAAATTGGTATCAAAGCTTAACTTAATAGTTAGAAACTAAGACATCTCAATGAGTAGAGCTATGACAAGTTAAACGACCAAATCCTCTAATCCTAGGCCATCTATGTTTAATAAAATCAACTACACATTTTGAAAACCAAGAGTTAGGTTTCATGCCTTGGGTCAGGTACCAAAGGTATGAAAATGATTATAAATAATCCACAAAAGTCATCAGATGATTTTATAGAGGAAAAAACCTCAAAATTGAATATAAGAGAACCAAACAGATTACTTAGTGCAATCAATGTTTCTGAATTTAAGCATGTGTCAAGTTGTGAGACAATGAATGAAATATGAGACAAGTTGGAAATAACTTAGGAAGAAATACTTCACATTAAAGATACCAAGATCAACACATTGGTTAGCAAGTATGATTTATTTCAAATGAAAGAAGAAGAAGAATATCTTGTTAAAAGATTTAAAGAAGTCAATGACATGAAAAATCTCAAAATTTTTACTCATGAAGAATTAAATTAAAAAATAATTAGATCATTAACTGATGATTGAATGGCTAAGAAAATAACAATTGTAGAATCAGAGGATTTAAAAATGATTCCTCTTGATGAAATTGTTGATTATTACTAATGTATGAGATTGATGTTGCTAGGAGCAGATCTCTTTCATAAAGGAAAAATATATAAACTGCTCTTAAAACTATTAAAACATCTGATGATGATGATGTGATTGCTTTATTGTCTAAATGATTGAATATGTTGCAAAGAAAGAAAAACTATTTGTGCAAGAAAGGTACAAGTAGGTTTTCTGAAAATTGTGACAATCTATGTTTTGAGTGTAAGAAACTAGGTCACTTTTAGGCTGATTTTCCACTGCTGAAAAAGAAAAAATTCAAATACAAAAGGAAAATAATGATGGCAATGTTTAGTGATAGTGATTTCAGCACAAATGAAGAAAGTGAAGAAAAACAAAATCTCTGCCTTATGGTGAGTTCTTCAGATGTATATGATTTTGACTCCTCTATATCTAAAGATCAATAAAAACAAGTTTTTGATGAATTGATTAGTGCATTTGAGTTTCTTCAACATAAGCTGAAAGTTATACAAAAGGAAAAGAAAATACTTAAAGAATCAATCAAAGGTTTAGAAAATAAAATGGGCAACATATGACCTTAGTTGAAAGACTAGAAAAGGAAAATGAAAATCTCATTAGAACACAAATAGAAGTAAATGAAGAACAGGAGAAAACATCTTTTGACAAAAATATACCTACTATCTTTGAACATATATAGAATTGTGAATAATTAATTCTAAAAAATCAGAACTAGAAGATGCCTAAGAGCCAAAGATTCAAAAGTTGTTTATTTGTTTCACTCATTAAATTTACTATGCATGAAAACTTTATTTCTGAATTAATTTCAGAAATCTATTAACTTAAGAAAAAGAATACTGACATGAATTCAGAGTTAAAATAGTCCAAAGGAAAAGACATCAAATTAGAAAATAAAATTTCTAATTTAGAATTAAATTATGATAATTATGTGTTAATTTGAAAGCATTAGACATGTTACTTGGGAGTTAAAAATTATTTACTCAGGAAAAAAAAATTGGGTTTTAGTCCAAGATCAATGAGAACTCATTTGAGGAATAAAACCAAAAATGTTGAATTAGGATTTGATTCAAGATTAACCAGAACTTTTCATATAAGTGAAAGCAGATCTAGAACATGTTATATATGAGTACCTAAGGTAGTATAGTTAAACCTAAAGAAATTTGGGTCCCCAAATGAAGAACTTAATCATCTTTTCAAGGGGATCTCTAGTGGACCACCTCATAGTGATACTAGGAAGTAGGTGTTCAAGATACATGACTGGAAATCAAAATGGTTCTCCACATTCATGCTAATGGATGGATGAAATGACATTTGGAGATGATAAAAATGAGAATATGTGGTTATGCACATATTTATTTAAAGGATCAATCTCTAGACAATGATATTTTACTTGTTGATGGATGAAAGGATAACTTAATTAGCATTAGGCAATTATATGATAATTATATGGAAGTTAGTTTTAAGGTGGATGGATGCTTGATTTTGAATGATAATAGTGATGATTTTTTTTTAACAAGTGATAGAGTGAAAAATGTTTATGTTTTGAATTTTAGAGTTTGGCTAAATCTAATGTTTGTCTCATGGCTGTAAAAGATGATTAATAGATTGAACTCTGACATAGAAAATTCCGATACATAAACATTAGGATAATTCATAGATTATCAAAATTAGGTCTAATTATAGGAGTACCAGACCTTTCTAACATATAAAGTTTCACATAAGAGATTTCATTACAAGAAAGTAAAGTACAGAATCATTCAAAACTAAGGAATATGTATCATCATCTAAACCTTTAGATTTAATTCACTTAGGTTTATTTGGTCCTAATTGTATAACTAGTTTAGGGGAGGAACATTATGGTCATCATTTTTATGACTATTTTAAATTTACTTGGGTGCCTTTCTTGTATCATAAAAATGAAACATTTTAATTACTTTGTAAAGTTTCCAAAGAAAATACAAATTGATGTATTTCAAAATGCTACGTTTTCTAAGTTCTATGATGAATTAGGAATTGTCCATAATTCTTTTAGCACCTAGGACTCAACAAAATAGAATTGTTGAGAGGAAAAATAGGACCTTACTTGATTTATCTAGAACCATATTGGCTGATAGTGATCTCTTGAAATATTTTTGCATTGAGGCCATTATCACAACTTGCTATGCCATAAATAGATCCTTGAGTAGATCAAAATTAAATAAAATACCATATGAAGTGTTGAAGAGTGAGAAACCATTTTCTAACATGAGTATTTCGAATTTAGAACCATTCAAATGTAAATCTTTTCTCCTTAATAATGGTAAAGAAGAATTAGGAAAATTTGATTAGGGAAGTGATGAAGTGATATTCTTAGGGTATTCTATATTTAAGAGCCTATAGAGTACTCAACATATCCATGTTAAATTCATAGAAAAACTTACAATTTCAAAGTTACACCCCTTGAGATTGGTAGTGTTCATACAAGTGTCACAAATAGTAAAGAAATTGAAGAAGGAGAAGAGCTACATGAATGAGAACCCAATCCTAATTATGAAGATTCATCTAGAATTTGGAGATATGTTAAAAGTCATCCAACAGAAAATATTATTAGAAACTTAAATGATAGAGTCAGAACTAAGTCAACACAAAAATAATGCACTTGTTCAAACTAGATTTTTGATGTTTACATAGTTTTAGTACTTTATTTTTATGTGTTAACTTGTAGAATAAATAAAGTAATATATTATTAATTTTAAAAGTTTGAAGTTAAAGGACTTAGTGTAATTTTTGACTTTTACAAATATAAGGATAAAGTAAAAAATATTACCACCCACTAGCAAGCTAGCACTCGATAGCTAACTTAGAGGGGTGCTATGCTCGAGTTGATGGACTCAAATTGGGAGAGCCACGAGTTAGGCTTGAGTGGCTAAGGACCCACTTCACACACGTGCGTCACTCCCCTGCCATTTCCTAGGGGCCAATCAATCGTGGAGTAAGGAGCGTTGTACACATGTGTGTGCACGAAGTTGAAGGGATCTTAGACATTATTTTATTAAGGAGAAGAGATCTCTACATTAAGAATTTAGTTTTGATGCATATTTAGTTCAATCATTGAAAAACTTCTGATATAGGACTAAATGTTCTCATTTTATAGGGCAACAGTTTGGAGAGTGTTGTGATCTAGTGGTGTTTAGTAGGCCATATTACTAGATAAATAAATCCTACAGCACATGAACCATTATGATACTCAAAACGTGAAGCATTATGTCAGTAGTTCATGAATCTTATATTACTTAGATTGCATATTGATGCAGGATGGGGCGAGAACCCTTGTACCTGATCAATGAAGCTCAAGACTCAAGAAGGGGTAGTCGGACCGATCCGATAAGAATGTATGGACCTTAAACTCTAAGTCTGACCACATAACCTGAGTACAGATAGGCATACCAATATGCACTATTAGTCCAAAACAACCTGGGGAAACACTTGACGATGGTAAATGTGAGGCCCTCTCGGTCCACATCCGGACAGACGGCGGAACGGTCGTCGTGAAGTAGCCTAGGGCTGCAGCTCCCAAATAGTGACGAGTCTGACACAACGTCGGAAGTCACAATCCAATAACCCGTCCCATCCTGTCTACGTTCTCCTGATGGCGGTGGAAACGAGCCGAGAAAACCCTTCGAAAGATAATTAAACTTAAGTAAGAAGGGATACGGGGCTAACCTTCGGGGATGCGTAGCCCGGTGGGTCATGACGGAGCAGAGACTCGACGTAGCAGAGACGGGGAAGAGTGATGCTCAACGTCAACGGTTGGTCCTGGTCGAGAAGTCGCAATAGTCGTCGTCGTAAGGCGTGGCACGGTCGGCGCGGGCGTGGGCCCGCTGGTGGGCCGAAGGGCACGCTAGCGGGCGTGGGCCCGATGGTGGGCCGAAGGGCACGCTAGCGGGCGTGCGCGGCAAGCCGTGCGGCGGCCTTAGGGCACGCGGGCGGCGGCGCCGGGTGGGCGCGCGGGCCGCAGGAGCCGGCGCGCGGGGCGCGTGCGGCGGCGGCGCTTTGGCGGGAATGCCGAGCGTCAGCGGTGCTTCGGCGGGAATGCCGAGCGTCAGCGGCGCTTCGGCGGGAATGCCGAGCATCAGCGGCTCTTCGACGGGAATGCCGAGCGTCAGCGGCGCTTCGGCGGGAATGTCGAGCGTCAGCGGCGCTTCGACGGGAATGCCGAGCGTCGGCGGTTGGGCGGAAACCCAACCGTCGCCGGAAGGATCGGCCTTCTCTGGCGGCGCTGGGAAGCGGAGCAGCGGAAGGAGGCGATCCGGCCGACAATACTAGGGAAGGTTGAGCCCTCCTGGTCTAGGCGGCGCTGAAAACGGCGCGACGGCGGCGGATCGTTGGGAAACTCCGGCGGGGGCCTGTGAGGAGCTTGGACTGGATCTGGCTCGTCGGCATGGCAGCAGGGTCTCTCCCAATGTCGGCGGCAGGTAGGCGTTCGTCGGCGAACGGCCAACGACTGGGCGGAGCGACGGATGGTGGCTCCAGCAAGTTTATAGTGGAGTTCTGGAGGAAGAGGTGGCAGTCGAACCAGGAGTCGAGAGACTCCGGCGGAGTGCTCGGCGACGGCTCGTAGGGAGGCGACGCGAGCCCCTTTCGTCACGACGGCGTGACGGGGTTCCAGTAGAGGCGGCAGCGGCTGCAGCGGCAACCGCAGCAACCGCGGCCGTTTTGTCCGGTGACGGCGGCGATCTCACGGGCGGCAACGAAGATGTCCGGCGGCGGCAGTGGTCTCAGGCAGCGGCAGGACTTCTCCGGCAGCAGCGTCACGATGAACGAAGTTCTCAGGGTATCGACGGCCTTCCTCTCCCTCCTTCCCTCCCTATCCTATGTCACGAGAAAGATAACTCACAACGATAATTTCTCATAAAATTCGGCGCTCCCTTGAGGGGGGGTCCTACCTCCCGGGTCCACAAGTGGGCTAAGGGGAGGTGGGCCCACTTGAGGCCCTCAAGCCCATAAGCCACAAAAGGCTACAAAAGGGGCTTATTGGGCCTCTTAAAGAGAGACCCAATAAGCTCCCCTAAAAGGAGAAAGAGGAGGGCCCTCTTACAGTGCTTAAGTGGGCCTCAAATGAAGACCCAAATAAGCCCCAAAAGAGGCCCAAAAGGAAAGAAGCATAGGTCCCCCCCCCCCTAGGGTTTTAATTGGGCCTCAAAAGAGAGACCCAATAAAATCCTAAAGAAAGGGAGACACAAACAACAACACACACACATAGAATTGGGCCTGCTAACACACAAACGCGAGGCCCAACAAGTCAACGTGAAAATATAAAGAAAGATAAAGGTGAGCTCGAGCTCGTCGTCGTCGCGGAGGTGGAATGTCGTCGTCTTAAAGGGCTAAGCCGCGTAGCGAAAGCTAGGCTCCTTCGTCTTCGTGCGTCGATCGGGTTGAACTCAGACTGTCAGTGTCTCCTGAGCTGATGGAGATGGGTCTCGCTCGCCATCACATATGACCAGAAATAATGATCCGATGACGAGTGAAGTGTCATGGTGCCAAGAACTTAAGCTCTCAGCTGGCAGCGATTCATGGT